ACAGAAAATTTGAGGTGAAGCCCAGGGGCCACCCATAGGCTTCCTTCTCCCCACTTCTCCCCCAACTCCCCAGAGTATTAACACTGTGCACTGACCCATTCAGATGTGTGAGCAGATGCCAAAGCTTTCACTCCGCCATCCACTGGGCTCAGAGCTCCCAGCAGAGTCCTTCTTGGTATGTTATGTTCTATGGATTTTTCTGTATGTCCAAATATGAACACACAGAAAAGGTCTTGCTGTCCTTGAAAATCTCTGTGCCCCATGTGTTCCTCCCTCCACCAGTCCCTAGTAACCATGGACCTTTGGGTTTGCTCCCTTTCCCAGAATGCAGCACAGTTGCCTTCTTGTTAGGTTAGCTCCTGTATGTATCTCATCTTCCTCCTCGTCTTCTCACAGCTGATCGTTTCTCATCAGCAAGTATGAGTCTGCTGTCTGAACTGTCCACCTGTCTATTCTTCCGCTTACTGAGGGACATGTAGGTGTCTTCAGTCTAAAGAAGCTTCTTAAACATCAGCACTCAGGTCTTCATGTGGACACAAATTTCCAGCTCATGTGGTAGGCACCTGATCTTGGGATTGCTGATCTCACCTTTGTAGGACGGTGTGGATAATGAAAGTCGAATGCACAGAGAGGTTATGTCACTTACCCAAGGTCACACAGGTAACAATTGGCAGTTGTCTAAATCACAAGACTCACAGCTTCTGGAGCTGCAGGCCCTTGGACAGGGACAGTCCTCTGAGAGAACTGTGGCCTCTGCCACTCTACTTGTTCCTAGATGATGTGTGTCTGTGTTACATGCACTTCCACCATCAAGGTGCGCTTGGCCTTGCTGCCTGACTGCTGTTGTCCTCACAGGAGAGGAAATCAGCAGGGCATGGCTTGCATTTGAACTCACCACCCAAGTCTACCTGTGAGCTCTGGTCTGGTCTTCTGTGTGGCTTGGAGCATTTATCTTCTCTGTGCTGAGGAGCTTTTAGGAGCTGAGTGGGGATTTTCAGGACTCCCCTGAACATGGATTTCTCTCCTCTAGAAGAATCCAATGGCTACCCCAAAAATAATACCAACTTTGTGTTGCTTGCCGATGTCCGTGTTCTGTACTGGTTATCCCTCAGCCTCCACACAGTCTTCCCAGGACAGACTAAAGAGATAAAGGGCAGTGGCCCAGGCTGTGCCTTCAGGGGGCTCTGCTCCATGCCCAGGCCTGGGCAGACACATCTTGTTTCTTTTGGAAAGGGTCAATGAGACAGGGGATGCGGCAGGAATCTGTGCTAGCTCTTTATCTGGAAGGTTCTACACAAGGCTTAGAACTTAGCTCCCTCCCTGTCTGGAAGCCTCCTGAGAGGAGTGTGGCTAGAACCTGCCTTCTCATAGCTGCATCCCTAGCAGGAAGCAGACCTTGGACTCAGTGGACAGCCTGAAGCTTTCCCAGAAGGTACATAGGACCAGAATAAACCACAAAGCATCCTCCAAATGTTAGCTAAGAGAAACTGTTAACAGTGGTGCTGATGCCACTATTCATCTAGTTTTAATTTACATTCGTCTTACCACTTGAAAGCCACAAGTGTTCCAGAAGTAGGAACCTGTGTGTTTGTGACAGACACAGGCTTCCCGCCTTCCCTTGTCTGTCTGTCCCAAGACAGAGGGAAGCGATTCAATGACCAGGAAACAGAGTCATGAGAGAAAACCGCGATCATCAGCCCTGTCTGTCTCTCCCAGGAATGGCAGACTGGAGCCAGAGCTCTCTGCTCTGTGAACAGCACTTCCATTTACCCTGGCCTGTCTGGGAGAGCTGGGAGCATCTGTCCTGCCGCAGCCAGCCTTGACAGACAGGGCCGCTGGTCACAGAGCCAAGGGCTGGAGAGACGGAGCCTAGACGATGCCCTTTGGCCTGTTTCCAGCCATTCCTGGAGATTCAGGAAAACAAGTCATTAGTCTGGAGGACTTTAATGACCAAATGAGAGCCAGGAAAAGCTAGGTCATAAGTTTGAAAGCTCCAGGGTCAATGTCCGGGAAGACAGCAAAGTGACTGCAAACCTTGTCTTGTCAAAGGGGAACATGGCTGGCACCTTGTCCCCAGATAGTGGTATCTAACACTAGATGGGGTGAAATGTGCTACCTTGGAAGGTTACTAGCAGCCTCCTTCAGTCTCATCTCCAACCATAATTTTATTATCTGTTTGAGTTGGAACGACCTTCCTGATCATGCCCATTTATTGACAGGGAGACAGAGGAAATGTGTTCAGAGCAGCAGTTGGGCTCCTCTCATCTCTCCTTAGAATCTTCTTTCCTTCCTCTTCTTTCTCGTAACACTCTGTTTTAATACTTAAAGCACATTCCAAGAAAAAAATCTAGGACACTGAAAAAAAATTACCTATGCTGTTTATTCATTCTTGTTCGGAGAATCCATTAGCTATAATGACCCTTCCAAATTAATCAGACCTGTAAATACTCAACTGCAGGCTGCCTGCAGAGAGGCACCTTCCAGCAACTGGCAGCAGCTGCTAGTGGGTTCTACCTAAAGTCCTGAATTACAGGGCTCTGCAGACATTACCTGAAAAGGAGGCAGAGGAGCCTGGCAGCTCTTGGAATGGGATGCGTGGTCCTGAGGCCGGCACAGGTCCTTGCCCTTCGTCCAGGGCTTCACCGGGAGGGGCACCACTCAGACTAGAATGCAAAGTAAGACTAATCCGGTCAGTGCAGGCTACCGCATTAAGAGCAGCACTGGAGGGGTCTGAATCTGGAAGACTCCTGAGGGGTGTAGGATTTGATGTGAGCACAGAAGAGTGGGCTGAGGCACAGAGGACAGGCAAAGGGAAGTGCTCTGGAGCCCACGTGACTGGAGGGAGCAGGTGGGAGACAGGTGATGCTGCTGTTCGTAGAGCAGTGGTCCTCAACCTTCCTAATGCTGTGACCCTTTAACTTAGTTCCTCATGCTATGGTGGCCCCTCAACACCCTTTAACACAGACCCTTATGTTGTGGTGACCACAACCATCTAACTATTTTCATTGTTACTCCATAGCTGCATTTTTGCTACTGTTATGAACAATAATGTAAATATCTGTGTTTTCCTGTGGTCTTAGGTGACTCCAGTGTAAGGTTCGTTTGACTCTCAAAGGGTGGAAACCCACAGGTTGAGAACCACTGCCCCAGGGAAAGCAACTGTTTTATGCAGATGTGAAAAACCCTGCCTTGCAGCAGGGAGGGTCTGTGTGCAGCCTCGTGAAATAGGCCCATGCTTGTCAGCTGCCCTGAGCAGTATGACTTTTAGTCCTGGTGACAACTACCCTGTTCAAGCTTGAGAGTGACATGAGTCATTCTGACTTCCAAGATGAAGATCAACTCAAGCCTTGAGGAACTCCTTTAGCCTTGCACCAGTATTAGAAATGAATTTTTCAAAATTGAAACTATACATACAAACATGCATACATAATGTTTTAGCCACTTTTCAGGGTACAGTTCCATGGCATTTAAGTTTGTCACATTGCTGTGTAGTCATCCCCACCAGTCATTTCAGAACTCTCTCCTCTTCCCCACCTGGGACTCTGTGCTCATAAGATCCTGCCCAGCCATTCCTGCTACCCACCCTGCACCCCCCACACCGTACTTTCTATCTCTACAACTTTAACTACTCTGGACTTGTCAGGTAAGGGGAATGGTCTATCTGTGACTGACTTTGAGGTTTCCCACAGTGTAGATGTACCAGAATTTCTTTCTTTTTGAGGGGTGAGTGGTATTTCCTCATATGACTGTACCTACCACATTTTATTATTCATCCAGTGAATGTGTTACAGACTTGGGTTGCCTCTATCTTTGGCTATTGGGAATGAGTCTGTTATGAACATGGCTGCAAAGATGTGAGTGCCTTGTCACGTCAGGCATTCAAACAGTCAACCCGAGCTGCTGCTGTGACTCCAAGGGGCCATAACTTCTCATCCTGAAATACATCAGTTGTGTAGCATTTGTCTCCTTCTCTGCTTTGCCAGGTTCTTCCTCTGCCTTCTAAAATGTATGTGAACATATCAGGGTATAGTCCCAGCACCTCAGAGGCAGGGGCAGGAAGTGCATCTATGAGTTTGAGGCCAGCCTGACCTGCATGGTGAGTTCCAGGCTAAACAGGGCTACAGAGTGAGACTATCTCAAAAGAAAGAAAGAGAAAGAAAAAATGTATATAGTGATGTTTGGAAAATCCAAGGAGATTCAGTTTCAAGCTGCTTTTCCACTGAGTCTTCCCTCCCCTGTTTCCCCCAAAATTGAGGTACAAGTCGTCAGAACCAGAGGGCACCCTGTCTTGAGACATCCCTACTTCCTCGCATTAATTGCCCAAACTTACATTACAACGCATTACAGCAGTGACATGCTCAGGCAGAAGGCAAGAGAATTCACAGTTCAGGTTAGTATTGTCATTAACTCAAGTCTTTGGTGTCAACTCCCTCCCACAGCGGAGCGTCCCTGCGTGGCCTCGCAGTCAACCTCCCCGATGCATTTTCTGGCCTTTGTTGGTTTGTGTCAGCTCTTGAACATTATTTAAATGTAGTTTGGGGTCCATGAATGCAATTACCATTGTGTTATTATTCAGAGGCAGATTGTTAAGATGCAGGCAGCTGTACAAGGAGATGCCCTGTGCTGTGAGGTCCAATTTAGGAGGGCCTTCTGAGCCCGTGCGCACCGTTGCTAGGCAACCTCATGCTACAGAAGTGGAGGCCTCCCTGGCTCCGGAGTGGGAAGAAGCCCAGTGCCTTCAGGGAATTGGAGGCAGTGGTCAATCGGAGACTGGCAGGGCGCCGGGAGCGGGAGGAGGCAGCGTGGGCAGAGCCTACAGGCCTGCAGGGGTGGGGGCGCCCACCCAACAGAACATGGTGTTCCCAGGGAGGGGAGGGGAGTGCGGCAGGAAGGAATGTGCGTGCAGAGAAGGTGTGGAGCCCGAGGCCAGTCAGGAAAGCTTGAAGGATACCCAGAGCAGATGCTAATGCGCTTCTCCCTGCCTGTCCCTCTCTTTGCAGGAAATGAACGGATCTGCAGAAAAACTGGTGGCCTGAAATTGAAGCCTAAGGAGTCGGTGCTTGTGAGTATGAATTTTGCTTTTTGAGTTCTGTGGTTATAACGATGTTTCTGGGAATTGGGCAGTTTCCCTACAAAGAGCAGGAACTGTGTGACCTGGGTGGAACTGGCTTTGGATTCTGGGCTTCTGGAAGGTCCCTCTCACTGGGCAGGGCTAGTCCCAAGTACATACAGCCATCAAGTTGAAGAAGGTTGCCCTGAACCCTGTTCTGCCCTCTAAGCAGAGAACAGCCCTGGGGTTTTTCCAGACAGAACTCATTGGCTGTGGATCTGTGAGTGGGCAGTGCGAGGTTACCCTGAGATACGGAGAGGTTGTATCTGACCTGTTCTAAGTTTGCTGTTAGGTTGTCCCTGTTGGAACAATTCTCTCACACACCACGGAACAGTGTGCTCAACCAGAGCAGAGAGCCAAACTAATCCTGTCAACAGCGTGGGAAGAGGTAGATGAGACAAAGAACCTTCTGGAAGGGCACATGGACCAGCTCTGGCTCCCATGGCACAGAAGGAGCCACCAGTGAAGGGTGGTGGTCAGAGAGAACACTCTAGGGATGGACAGACTCGATCTGGGCTGAAGGGGAAGGAGGGAGAGCAGAGAAGAGGCCTCGCCACTGGGGAACACACTGAGGTCTTTGTGAAGGGCAGCCCAGGCGTGGTGGGTCTGATGGGTGGAGGAGAGGTTGGTCAGGCCCGGAAAAGTGCTGAGAGCCCAGAATGGCTCCACGAAGGGTCCAGATGCGAAGAACCAGCATGCAATAAAGTATCCCTCACTTGTGGAAATAAAAGTAGATTTCTCCCAGTTTGTCTGCTATTCCATCATGTGCGGACAACTGAGAATTTTTTTTCACCAAACTTGAGACTGACCTTGAGATCAGCACATATACACACTGAATAGACACAGGAAATCCATGTTTAAGATCTTCCCTAGGCCCCAGAACACGTCCCTCAAACACACACAGAGCCATCTGTAGACAACAGCAGCTAAGGGCCACTATTACCCACAAAGCCAGCACTGGGGACACAGTAAGCTTTAAGTGAACTGTCACCAAGGTCATGCTTGATTTCCTGGAAAGCCACTGGCAGGCTGAGAGACAACTGAAATCTATGTATTTAACAATGCAAGCTAGCAGAAGGGGCTGGCTATTTTGAAATACCAATACCAATAAAAGTGGTATTTACAGAGTGTTAACTGTTTATTCGCATTTGGCAGTCTTGCCTCCTGAGAGTGTCACAGAGGTTCCAGGTATTCCTGCTGTAAAACTTGAGAAACTGAGGTTTAGGCTGGCTAAAACTCTGCTCAGGTCCACTGAGCTGGAATGTGGTGCTTCTAAAATGTGCGCTCTAACCTTCTGCTGCGGGAGACTGAATCTCTCCGATTAAGAAGCAGGTCCTGCTTGGGCTGCCTGCACCCCCATTGGAGAAGTAGAGTAATGATGATCATATGGTTCCCCAAGTCCTATTGTCTGGATTCTCTTCCTTCTAAAACAGTGCATTGTGTCCCTGGCTTTCATAGGCAATACATCAGCCCAGTGGTCTCTGACAAGGACAGTGTCTACTCTGCTGTCCCCAAAGCAGATGGCCATGCGCACATTAACACTAGGGGCTATTCTGTCAACACGAGAGGGCTTCATATGCAGTTTTTGGCAAACAACCTGTTGAAGTTTCCTGGGAGCAGAGCCTGAGATGGTATAAGGTACAGGTGAAACATTTTTAGAGAGTACTTGCCAGGGAGACAGGGTAGCAAGTATGGGAGCCCGGTCCCCAGCAAGGATCTATGCTAGGGTGAGTCTAGTTCTATATACAGCACTGCAGTGATGTATGGCTTGGAAACAAGACTCGGGATGTGTATGCCCCATTACTCCTCAGCCACTTATAGTGTTACCACTTCCATAGCACCACCTTAGTAAAGAGCCAGGAGTTCAGAGACTGTCCCAAGCAAAAGCCACGTGCTATACACACTCCGCAGCTAGGAAGACATGTGTTGATAAGTGGAGAGAACCTGGGCCTGGCAACCATAGAATTTACTTCCATGCCTAATTAGTATCTTTGTTGGAAAGACAGCCATGTGTCACAGTCACTTGACCTGGCAGTCATCTTGACTTCAACTACCTTTGTGTTTCAAAAGTATAAACTGGAGGATAGTATGAGAGTCAAATAGTGATCCTGAAGAAGTAGCCTCTAAAAGTGATGTCTATCTGTACTGAAAATGTAAATGTGTGCTTTTATTGACTGATATCTTACTCTTGGTTGGTGATAAGTCTCGTGGTTCTTAATTGGAAAGTGCCTGAAAGTCTCCAGTGAAAAGTCCCTTCCCAATCCCTAGCCCCAAGCCTCTATTCTCCCAGAGACACCCAATGTTGCTACAGTTGTGTGTTGCTTTTCACATCAACAACAGCATGATTTAGATGCCCAAGTCTGGATACTATAGTGCCATAGTGAGCGATACCACCTTCTTGTGACTTGGACTCCGCAGTTGGAGCTATTCCAGAAGGGGCTGAACTCTAATAAGCCTTTTCTTTGGAGAGGAAACTGCCCTCTGGGGGATGGCTCAAATGCATACATGCTTTGCAGATGTCCCAAAGTCCTTAGAATTTCTTATGTGATATTACAAGTGATAAGTGATATGACAGTCACTCTCTAATTGCAATAATTGTTTAAAGCAAATCACACAGTTTTGAGAATACTGTACTAAAGCTCCTGGAGTTCCCAAGCCTTTAAAATAATGTGTTATTTCTCTGAATGCATTATTTAGTGCAAATCACTGAGGTATCGCAGCACGTGTTATCTGATGTCATTTGCATCTCGTTTAATGGCTTCCTGATGTTTCCAGAGTGAGCAGAGATGAACTGCATTGTCAGCACCTTGTGACGTCCTTGGATGAGGTGGTTTGAGTTTGGAGACACAGTTGGTCAGGGATGGGGTGGGCTCCTTTACTTCCCTGTGGTAGGAAGCCCTAACATGGTATTGAGGCCATCAGTCAGCAAAATGGCCCAGCTCTCCATCATTTGACAGGCTGATACGGTACAGCCCTGTCACAGCTGGACTAGTTCGTGGTCCCTATGCTGTACCTCACTGGATCCCAGGCCATTTACTCACACTGCATACCTCTCCTGATTTAAATCTTATGGGTTTGGACTAATGCTTATGAATATGCAAATAACAGTTGCTTGGTATTCTTATTGATCCAGCCTGGGTGTTTCTCCCTTGCAGTCAAACTTCCTGCTCTCAGTTCACTCCCCCACCCGCAGTATATTCTCTAAATTACAAGAAATCCTCTATCTTGAACATGGCCTGTTCTAGCCCCAAGAGGGATTTTGGTGGCACCCCCTTGAAGACTTGAAAAAAAATCTCATTTCCGTCCAAGAAATTGAATCATTATCTAGATTGAAATAATATCTTTCCTCAACCTGCAACAAGATAAAGAATCAAATTGGTGGAGTTTCCTTATCATTGCAGTTTGCAGGACACAGACTAATGGCCTGTCACTGCCTCTGGCTGGTGGGTTCTGTAATACAGGAGCCCACGGTGGCTCCTGACCTGCTTTGCGTAGCCCAGTGTCTGTGGCAATGTAAGACAATGCCGTAATGACAAGGGTCATCATATGAAAAGGAAAAGTAGTGTGGGACCTAGGACTGCCTGAGCAATGCTCTACCCTATGGTGGCTGTACCCCTCAGATACACTTGTGTATGGGCAACTGGAGGAGCCAGCAAACAAGGCGGACTTCCCTGTTCCTTCAAAGCTTAGCCCTAGGCTAAACTTCAAGAACTGTAGTTGGAGTATAGGGGTGACAACCTGAGAAGATATAGTAGATCTAGCTTAGGCTGGTAAACAGATCAGCACACAGACAGACATCCCAGGGAAAGAACTGAAAGATTAGTATGGCTTCCGGTCTCATCTGCTGTTGTTAGGGGTCAGCTCTGATCTCTGGGGCTTCAGGCTTCTCTTGGTTCAGAAGAGGGTGGCACCAAGGAGGGCATTACGAGAAAGAGGCAAGTTAATGTGCATGCGTAGTCCATGCTCCTGGCTGTTTCCTTCTGCCCTTCCTGCTCCACTAGCTGAAGAGGCTCTGCCAGTCCCAGGGCTAGTCCTGTAGGTGTCAAAATGTGGATACAAGCAAGGATGCTTTTCTCACACTGCTCAGCCCCATGCTCTCTTGCATCAAAAGAAGAGTTTCCAGCCACGTGGTGGTGGGTGGTGCACGCCTTTATTCCCAGCACTCAGGAGGCAGATGCAGACAGACCTCTGTGAGTTCAAGGCAAGCCTGGTCTACAAAGCAAGTTTCAGGATAGCAAGAGCTATACAGAGAAACACTGTCTCAAAAAACCAAAGCACATAAACAAACAAACAAATAAATCATAACAATAAAAGAAATAAGGTAAGATTTTTCTAGCCCAGTTGGCCTGGTCTTACTGCCCTCCCTGTGGTGATATAGAAGAGACTAGAGGACACCACTGTCTGACTTTGGAGGGCTTTCTATGCACTGGTACTATTCTAATGGGTTTGCATACTTGATCCACCCAGCTGTGCTTTAGAAGTGTTTAGTATCTGCCTTTAATGGCCGAGGCACAGAAAGGCTAAGGAACCTTTCCTGGGACTCACTAAGTGGTAGAACTAGCATCTGAATGAAGCCAAGCAGCCTGCTGGAAGCCTTTTAAAACTTAAGCTATTGGGACGAAACCATTTAAAACCACCTGGGCTCTCCTCAAACCCCACACTGGAATTCTAGCACAGAGAACAGCAATAATAACGATCTTATGTTTGTGATGTTCCAGGAGTCCCCAGAGGTAGATTCTGCCCTGGGTGAGAGGTTGAATGACAGTCTAGTCAAGGTGTCTACCAATGGGTGCAGTTAGCTGAGACACAGTCTTTAGATTGTGCCAAGACTATCTATCCTCAGTGTGCATCAAGTGCTTTGCCAACCACTGGCTTACCCACCCTGTGGTCCAACCCCCATCTTCCTGCAGATACCACTCCCACCAACTGTGCCTCCTGGGAAAGGACACCACCCTCCAGCCTCACCCTGTGTCCCCTCATGCCTCTTCCTCCCCAGCCAGGTGTAAGTGACAGGAAAGTGCCTATCAGCAGAATATTGTCTTCAAGAGGAGTGCTGGTCTGTCATCGAGCATGCCTGATTGCCATGGCAATCACCAGCAGAATGGAATGATTTCATAATACATTTTCATCTGAAACAGGAACAGGTGTGTGGGGGGGGGATCAACACTGATCAACAAGACCAGTCTAGGGAGGTTAATAGCAAACTTAGGGTTGCTCAGGGAAACAAAGGGAAGAAAGGCATATATATGCCAGCTAGTAGTCAGTATCCTTCCAGCCTCACCTATGACCTTTCCCTGACCCTCACTCCGTTCCTACCACCCTGATCTCTGTGACTTGCAGTTTTGGTGTTTTCCCATCTTCACTGTCCTCACCATGCTTGGCTACCAGTCCATCCCACCACATCCCTTGAGAAACACTCCTGGGCCCACCAGCTGGACCCTGGGAATCCTGCCTCTACCAGCTACCTGTACCCCCAAGAGAAGTAATGCTCCTCAACTCACTAAAAATAAAATTCCCTGACATTATCTAGTCTGTGACCCAGGCCACCTGGCACAAGTCCTGCTCAGCTATCCTCATTTGGGGAACCATCATGAGCAAAGCACCTCACAATCGTCCTATGACCTTGTGGTGCCTGGACTCGATGCCAAAACCTGATTCTGTGCACAGGACTGGCATTCATTTGCATTATGCATTCCTTCCAAAGACAGAGCTGCAAGGGAGAGTCAGAACACTGCCCGGCAGTTCTGATCTGTAAGCAAGGCCTCTGGTCTCTATTTATTTCCACATCACTGCTGGCCCTGGATATGGGAGTCCATTCTCCTGGGACCAGAGGGCCATCCTGGCTGCTTCCTTGCTGCCTTGAGAGGTTCCAGTGCAGGGCAACTTCGAGGCCACCTCACTTGGGAGTCCTGGCACGGTGGGGTACACTGTTAGCTGCACTGCTTTGTCCTGCAGCTGACAGCGTCTCCGCCACAGGGCAGGAGGCAGAATGGACTTGACAGGGTCATCACATCAAAGGCCTTCTCCACTTTCAGATAATGCATGAGAGAGGTTGCCAGGCCTACTCTAAGGACATGGCAGGCATTAGCTAATATCTTGATTTTAATAGATGGATAATAAGAAGCCCCGAGTGT